GCTGCTAAGTTCCTACGCGCTTAAACGCCCTGCAAATACCTAATTTAATACATCACTGCTGGCTGAACTAATTTGATTATCCTTTGCCGCTCCCAATTACTTGTTACTTCTAATTGTAACGTTGACTCTGTGCCTTAACGGTAACGAAATTACAACTCACTTAATACACAATAAAATTCATAATAAATCTAGGAAATAAATTTTTGTGTGGAAACATTTCACAACAAACACACTTTAGTCATGAAGTTTGGATTGAAAGGCACCTCGAAAGTAAACACACCTTGTTCTGTCCACACAACCCAGACATTCAAGGGCAGCTCACTCACAAACATTTGAAGCTGAAGTTGGAAGTAGAACTGGGAAGAGGGCTTCAAGGTGAACCCATTTTCGCTCACAATGTCACCAATTTTAGGGGTAAGGCAAACTTCTTTAGGGTGCATATTGTTTTGTTTCCAGGGGCATTTGTGTTCCAAAACTTTGTTTGGACAACCATCAGAGCACTGACATTTCTGAATATTGTCCACACTAGCACTGAGGAAGGGCTTTTTCTTTGAAATTAGAAAGCCTTTGGAGATCAGTTCCAATTTGTGATGGGTATGGCTGGCAATTCGCTGATATGCCCTGGGTGCACTTTCCTCTCATAGGATAAATTCCCTCTCTCTAAGATTTTGTGGTTCCACTTCCTGATTTTAACCACAACTGTGTGGTGACTTGGGTAGCACAATATCTTCTACCAACTTTTTGACATCTTTTTCAGTTTTTTCAATGGCCTCATGCCTAGTGAAGACTCCTTTACCCTTTGAAGCTGATATGAAACCAATCTTATGAATATACCATTCCTCACGTTGCCACTGGAAAGAGGACGTGCTCTCTACATAATCTCTTTCTGCATCACTGAAGGATAACAACCTCAGCACATCTTTGCTAGAGATGCTGGGATGGCCTCTAACAATCTCTTGTATTTTGGTATTCATGGTATCAGTCTTAGCCTTATTAAAAGGTTCATTATCCAGTTCTGAGTGAGCTTCGGAAGTGTAGTGGAGTGTTTTGATCAGGGACAAGATAACTGCAGTGCATCAGTTTTTAACCGGCACGTCTTTTTGGTGAATTGATGGAGATATTTCTCATATTTTGGATTCCTGTCTCCAGGAGTGCAAACATCTTGGTCAAAATAGTGGGGAGAAGTGTGTAAGGTTTCTGCATTTGTGAGAGGGTTTTTTCATTTTTTTGATTACCAGGTTCGGTTGACTTTGCATGATTTAGTCTTTGCTCAAGGTTTTTTAACCCAGATACATTGGCCACTGGTCACACTATCTTTACCTTGAATGTTAAGCAAATCTTTTAGGGAATACTTTTCATTTTCATTTAGCTTGAAGGACACTGCACTGGTTTGACCCTCTGCCCTCAGTAATAAACCAGAGATTGTAGTATTCCTTTCCCTCGTCTGTTTTTACTTTCATAAAAGGGCGCACATTGGCTATGTATACATAAATTACCTCTTGTTTCAAATGAGAAGTTAGAAAAGATTCTGTATAACTGTTGTGTATTTGGGTTCGTTATATACTACTATAGAGTAAAGCGTGCACAGACCACACTGATTTATGGTCAGTTTTCAGGATGAAGTGTCTCCCAGTAAGGAAGTGTCTCCAATGTCTCACCGCTTCTATTATGGCCTAGGCTTCCTTCTCTATGGATGCATGCTTCAGCTCACCGCCTTAAATGGTTCGTGGGAAGAAGGAAACAGGTCTTCCATTCTGATTGAGAGTGGCTGCTAGTGCTACTTCGGACGCATCTGTCTCGACCTCAAAGGGAATGGTCTCATCTATAGTGGTGACAGCAGCATGTTCTATTGTCTTCTTGAGACTTTCAAAGGCTTCAACAGCTGGTGGAGGCAGAGGTAATGACTTGCAAGAGGGAATTGGCTTGATCCGATCTGAGAACCTTGGGATCCATTGGGAATAATAGGAGAATAATCCGAGACACCTGCTCATGGACCTAGAGTTGTGTGGAACGGGGAGTGCACTCAGGGGTCGTAAACGATTAGGATCCGGCCGTATAGTACCCTCCTTAATGATGTATCCGAAGACAGGGAGACGCTAGGTTGAGAAAAGACACTTTCCAGTGTTATAACAGAGGTTCTTGCATTTAGCAGCTTGAAGAAAGTGTTCCATGTTAGTGTCATAGTCCTCTTGGTCCTTGCCGCAAATAGTAACATTGTCAAGGTAAGGGAAGCTCGCCCCAAGATTATCCTCATCTACAAACTTCATCATCTCTCTAGAAACAGGCTATGCCATTGGTGACCCCAAAGGGCAAGACCAGAGTTTAGTTTCTCATCAGTGTGACACCTAAAATCTTAATTGATTGACATTAAAGTCAATTTTTCTTCTTTAGAGTTTTCACATCCTAACAGCATACATTGATATTTGTCACAGTTCACTTGCAATAAATTGTCCTTGTACCATTTTGTGGACCTTTCTCCATCTTTTGCAAGATTCTTTACCACTTTTTCACTTGTGTGGCCAGCTACGTAGACTTGGTGATGGTTGGGGTATATGGAAACACTTGCTTCTCCCACTTGCAATGGTAAATCAACTTGGAAAATGTTCAGAAAATGTTGTAGTTGTAATGAAATAACTCCTTTCAAAACATTCTTAGGCAGGACAATACATTTCATAGGTGTCATGTAAGGCTGCATTTCATAAATGAAGGCATCAAAAGGAAGCAGTCGCTTTCATGGCAACCTGTTACATTTCTTTTTAAATATTAATTTATAGCTAATGGTAAATTTCTTCCCATTGTGTCCAAAATAAAACATTTTCAGCAAAACATTTTTTAACAAAAAATGGTTAAAATACTTCAATCTTTATGCCAAATGGCTAAATCTGTTTGCCTTTTGAGAGCTAGCGGTTAACCCCAGTGAAACCCTTTCGATATATGGATTAATTCTAAACTTTCACTTATACGATTCTCTCGGCGAAGTGATAACAAATCTTCATTAAATACAACACATCTTGCTGGGAAATTTATCTAACTGTTGCTATCTTTGGACCTTGATCCCTCGCATGCAGAATGGCCTAGGGGCATAGCTTCTCTCCTAAAACCAGGAACAGGCTTCTTGTCATCATATACAGATGACAAGTTTACATTCCTTTGAACGGATTGCTTTAGGCAGGAACTTACTGAAACGTATGAAAACAAGAAACAAACTAGTTATTACCCATTGGTATTCCTGAGTTAGTAGTTATGTCTCAGTTCTTTTGGGCATTCAATAACCGTACTATGGTACAGAAAATAAGGGACTACAAGGTGTGGAATTTCCTAACATGTTATGTGTATAGCTGTGTAATACCTTGACTGTATGAGTTTCCAACGTATTATGCCATATGGAGCCCTGTTATTTATTCCTAATTCAATACTTAACACAAAACGGAAATTGGAAATTTCCAAAACTAAATGACAATCACAAATAAAGAGTTATCTTTGGCAGACATCTTACTCCATGCCACATATATCATATAGGCCTTCCCTCCCAGGGTGCATTCCATCAGGGTTTGAGTTGGAGACTCATCTTTTTCTCATGCAACAATGGTGTATTGAGTCATCTTCAGTCTTGTGTTCAGGCTGCATATCTGCCTTAAAGTAGACTTTAATATTTCCTCACTTGTTATGGTATAATCTAGCCAACAGAAAAACACTACAATCTTGCAAACTTTGTTAATCCTAGCACAGTCTGTATTCCAGCTCACCACTGATGCAATCTCACTGCTGTCTCCAAAATTCCTTGAAGTGAGCAGTCTTCTGCAGCAACTCTCTCTCGGTATAGCTTTCAAAACAGTTGTCACTCCGACAACAACAACAACCCCTACTGCTACGTAAGTGAGTCTTTATATACGTTCTCAAAGTGTTCTGTAACATCCCAGATGCTTGCACAAGAACTAATTTAGTGCTATTAAGTAATAAGTACATGAGTTTATGAAATGTTCTGGAAAGTTCTATGGTATGCAAGTTGGCATGACTAGGAGTTTAAGAGGTCCTCTCACAGTGTCAGTAACGTACTGGTTTATTCACAAATATCTCCAAATGTTCAAAGTCCGTA